ACCCAGACTGATCTACTGTGATATCTGTGTCATCCGTTCTGACGATCTACGATTTCTACGTGTTACCTTAGGTCAACTGACAGAGCTCGTATTGAACTTACTCGCATCAGGTGAGTCTTGTCTTTGTGATTTGTTTTCATGTGTGTCCGATCCGTGGTTGCTGATTACACACACACACACACACACACACACACACACACACACACACACAAATATACATGCCTCAATGTAGAATACATCAAACTAGAAAAAGGTTTACACGGCCAAAGGGTAAATTTTCAGTTTTCTAAGCGAGTTACAAAGAAGAAAATTATCTGGAAACGGAAGTTCCAGTTTTAGTTATCACAATAGTTCATCTGTGCCCTGGAAAATCTGCACTAGTAGAGTTATTAAGTCTAATCTGAGCAACTGGAAATGTACGGTTTAAAGATGACCTACACTTTTTTGCTCTCGTTGTTCATAAGGTAATCGTTTTGCTAGCTCTACTTGTTTGCTTTTTGAAGCTCTATTTGAAATTAGTTGCCTTCTCAAGGTTGTTTGCCTTATATAACAGTGATTTTTTTCGGAGTCACGCTTTTCGTAGTAGTGTTTTGGATAAAGATTCCTCTCTCTGTTTCATGGTGTGTGTAGAGAAGCTGTTTTGGGCCCACTGAAACAGAGTTTGTAATCTAAGGGTCGGAACCACGAGAACTGGATGTAGTGGTCGCTCCGTGTTGCTTTTCGGTGATCAGAAAGTTGCCATGTACCAATAAAGCGCTTCGTAATCATAATATCCAAGAGTGATAGAAAGTTGTCTTGTTTAATGAGACGAAGAAAAATGTCCACGCATAAGGGATAAGGGAATTCTCACTCCGTAGGAATAAAACAATCGTTTGCACCAAGTGGAAGTGTAAAGATAACTGCTCACTCATTCCTACAAGTACATACACTAGGTTTACACTGGTTATTTTTAAGACTCCACTTTCACGCACGATTCTCAATTCTGCCAGTCAACCGTATTCTTGGAAACAATTTCACCCTGAAAAAATATGAATGGGTATTGCGGATTCGCGTGGGTATGAGCTGTTTGGTACAGTGGCAACGCATACGCCTTCCATGTGATGGGTCCGGAGTTCAAATTCCGACCGGGACGGTGGATATGCACTACTGATGGACTCTAATAAACGCGAAACTCCAGCCTAGTACTTCCGAGTGTATGATCGACTGGAGGAGCGTGAAGTTGAAGTCTAAAGAATGATCAGTTCATATCAGTTATCTCACACCACTACTCACAAGTAACTGAATTAATTGTGAATATTTACTGGAGCTGACCCTAGTGATTGGTCACGACTATTCATACATATTTTAGGCCTCGAGTGTTCCAGATGAAAAGAATTGTACTCGTATTTCGAATCTCATTTCCTCTTCTCTCGGCAGAGAACTCCTCGAATTCTACAACCGATATTTCGTCGGCCTTCACGGAGTTGTTGTCCCTATTACGCCTGGTGACCACATTCACTGTTGATTCTCTATGCTACTTGGGACCTACTTGTTTCCGGTGAGTTCCTATTCGTGACTCTATTTCCACAGTTTTTTTTGGTAATAGGGGTTCATTTTCAAAACCTGTTTATAAACTGAATCTATTTCCTGACATTCGTTTTTTGTAGACTATGCTTTCATATGCAATACACGACATTCTTAGGTTCCCATGTCCTCTAACAAAACCATATGCGGTCAGGTCGACCGAATGTATGTACATTACGTAGCGGTAGATGAAATTTTGGAAGGAATATATAGACCATGTGATTATTAGAACTCAAGAGGCCAAGAGAAGGGGGTGAAAGAGTATGACCGCCCACGCATTAATTCGGTTTCTATGGTTACCACTTGAAATTAAGTACAAGTGGATAGAGGTAGATCGGTCCAGATGTGTGTTTTCTCTCTACGCTCTTTATCTTTTCGTGTGATGAACCGCAGAAAGGGGTAAAACTCGGTGATCATGCAGACTCACGTTTCCTTTGTGATGGCCGACAACCTGAGCCTAGGGGAGTAGGAATGATGAAACAAACAAGGCTAGTAAGATGCGTAGTATTTTTTTCGGCTCTCCACTGAGATGTTTACGAAGTGTTCATCTTTCGGGGTGTATAAAGCATAGATTTGACTGGAATAAGTTATGATATCCGGATCTGATATCTCTGAATTGCGCTTGCAGTCATTGTTTTGTTTTTCACATCTGCTCAGGCACATACTGTTGAGACATGGCAACTCTTTGCCCGATCCGTACTGGCCCGTGCTAATGAACAATTTGACGGAACTTATCCAAACAACTTTGGGCTCTATGAACGATCTGTTCGTGCACGGCAAGGTCGAATCCAGCATACCTGCTGTACCGGAGCATCAATGTACGATTTGGCAGAACGATGTCGAGCGCCTTCGTCTGGTTCTCCGCCAACTTTGGGTCCGTTCGACCCAGGTTGATACAATCCATCCGTCCAACCTCAAGGATTGGATAGTGATCGAACGATCTGGAACTAAGGATAGGTAGATTAATGAAAATTTGTACTTGCCTGTTGGATAATGTGAGATAATCATTCGATCAATTGGTGAATGTTTACGCCGTCGATTGATGACGTAGCCTCCCTGCAAGCCATTGTCCCTCTCTCCCAGAATGCGAAAACTGTTTTGACTCAATAAAAGGCATTTTGCATTACGCTTTTCGTTTATTTATTTGTGTGACTATCTATTTATTGCTAAAGAGTAAATAGGTTTAATCGGTATCGCACACGGTGCACTGTAACATGGAGAGAGAGAACTAACCAAAGATTTGGGGCTTTGGAATACGTAGCTGGGACTTCTTTTGTTGCTCAGTCGCCCCTTCCAACAAGGAATTAAACTACTGGCATCGAACTTGCATCCAATCTCGTACACATCTAAGTAAAGCTCGCCAGATCAAAGGATCATTCCGTCGACCTGTTGTGTGCTTCATTCGGCCCCTCAGGGGGACGAGCTGGCTTATCGTTTCCAAGGGGCCAGCCGCAGTAAAGTAAGTAAGATGCGGTGTAGATAGAGCATGCAGTGATGGTGACCTTGGCCAGTGGCGCACCACGATCGCATCATCACAGTGTGCTGGCTATACCTCTTTCCTTACTCTGCATTCACTTTCATTTTGGGTGTAAAACTAACATCCGTGTGACTGAACTTGATTGGTTTTCCGCTTTTTTATTCAGGCATTTCTATATCCTTCAGGTGAACTTCTTGTGGCCTATTTAACGACAGAACTCGACTGTTTATGGGTCCCACCTAAACACAGTACTTCCGATCTAATTAAGCCTTCCTTCTAATAAGATCAAGTGCAAGTATCAACAAAGGACAGGTTAAATTTGACTATTTCCCGTCATCTCTTCAGCCTTGATCATAATTAATCAAAAGTTATTGTGATGAGAACTCACTTATTTCGTGCTGTATCTTTCCCAGTTCAGTTCTGTGTCATGTTGGCGATGAACTGTTTTGGAAACCTGTCGTCCCGAAGTTCCGCAGAATATCAAATAAAGACCATCTAGCTTTCCTATGCCTCAGAAAATTAACCTTTTGCTTAGAGCTCGTTTATACTGCGTTAGACAGAAGCTTCTGAAGTTTAAATACTGTTTAAGTCCGAGAATTCCCAGGATAACTCTGATTCACGTTCAAATGTATTTTGTGCATGTTTCCTGTTTTCGACTACGATACATACGTCGACCGTCAACATGGCGTTTATGGAAGAATGCTGCTTGCTAGGATTGTCAGTTTGTTTAGGTATCTCGCGGTTACCACTGACCCTAGTGGATTTTCTCACTGTCGACCCGTCGTTGTGCGTTTGTTATCTCTGGTTTTGGTTTTAATTTGTTCTGAATATTTAGGTGATTGTGTGTAACTGCACCGTGCATATGTACAGAATAGAGCGAACGGTCTCAGGGTCCATTGTCTAAACGTATAGTCTTGACTTCTTTGTTGAATTTAGTGACGAAACTGCTTCTTTCAATCGATTCAGTGTCCTAAAAAATTCGCTGTGCTCTCCCATCTCTTTTCCACCCGCTCTTCGTTCTAGTTCCCCAAATACCGTTCCCGCCGCCACCGCCTTTGCGGGAAACTGTAATACTGCTGCTGCAATTTGCCCGATAATTCGTAATCTGATTAATCATGAACTNTGAACTGCTAATTCAAACCTTGGTCGATCTGTTCGTATGGCGGGAACCTTCGGAACGAGTGACCGATGCAGCAAACGATCCGATTGTCAATAAACACTTGTCTACGGACGAGGAGGAGGAGGAGCACAGTTCACATTTCGGTTTGTTTGATCATCGCCCAACCGAGGACATGGCAAGTGGTACGTCAATTTTCGTG